TATGAACCATCACAAATATAAGCATCCAATAAGGAGTATATTAGTATTCAATTTCTATGAAATTATACTTTCTCTTGGTTACCGATATGGCCTTGCTTAAAAAGATTTGGTGGTTAGGAATAGGAAATTGAAATAAATGCTATGATAATATGAAAATAGCAACTTAATCCAATATTTATTATAAAAATTAGACCTCATCACAAATAACAGTAATTAACTGAACAATTATTCATCTTTCCCATTATTACCTCATTACACCACACTAGTCATACATAAGTTGGTAAAAGTTCATTTGTAAACTAAGTTTTATCAATCAAAATAAGTTTTATTGGTTGAAATGTAGTTTAGCGTAATTTGTCAAGAGCATGGACTCCGGAGTTAGGCTTCCTGGTTCAAATCAAGGTTTTACCATTTGCTGTAATGGCAATTTTTGGTGTTAGGAACCTCTGGGTCTCAGTTTCCCCATCTATAAAAGGGACTAACAGTATCCTCACAGGGCTGTGGGGGGAGTAAATGAAATGGTATGTGGAAGTACTCAGGAGAATGCCTGGTACACATAAGAGCATTCGCTATTATCAATGGCATTATTAAAGCATCTCCGAAACTATAATATATTAATGTTAGCACTTTTTACCATGAAGAATTTCTTTCCTCCAGTTTCCTGAAAACCTTAAATGCACCAGGGAAACTCAATGTTTGAAGGAACCCTGCGGCAGTTTAATAAACATCTATTACTAATTGATTCATTTATATATTAGGTCCCTTTAAAGTCAGATTAAGGTAAGGATAGAACTGGGAATACATTCTTTCACAGTACATAACTTCATAATGTTAAATAACAGCCAAATGATACCATTTCACATATACAACTATGTCCTACTCTAGTGTAGCAATGAATAAATGGTTGTTGCTATTTATCTCAAAAACTCCCAAGAGAAGTGAATCTTACTGAGAAAATTATTAGTTCAGTTATGGATATACTAAGTTTGAGGTGCTAACAGAATACTTAACGGACGTTCGGGAAGCAGTCAAAAGTACAGACCTAAAGTTAGGAAGCTTACACTCAGAAGTTCATCACTCCCTCCTCTGTATTACCATGGAATTTTTCACATCCTATTACATGACAATTTTTAGTCTCCACAACCATTCTCTACTGCTAAACTATCTTGAAGGCATTTAGGTCCTGCTATATAAGGGCTTAATAATGTTGATTTTTTTTTAAAAAAATGCAAAACTTGCAGAATAGTACAACTAAGAGAGTGAATTTTATTGTTTATAATAAACTCTGATTTAGAAATTTTTTTTTCAATCTGTGGATTTTAAATAAGGATGAAATTTTCATTTGGAAGTATTCTTATAAAATATAAGTAGCATACAAACAAAATCCTTTTTTTTTTTTTTTTTACATTTGGTCACATGAGAATTACTAAATGCTACCAAGCAGTGAAACCTGACATTATCACCAGGCCTATAAATCTGCAAAAGTACAATATAACGAGGCAAAGAAATTTATAAATGAGTAAAATAAGGAAAAGAAAGTCCAGTGAAGATTCCTTGAAGTGAGTTTAAATTAATTTAAATTCTTAAGAAGTCTGTCAAAATACCTGCAATGTAGATTGAAAAGATTTCACTTTCTAATTTACAGGCTACTTGAGTTCAATAACTTAAAAATGAAAGGCCTCTGGACCCTTCCAGCACATGTTATTCTAAGAGCTATGATAAGGAGCATGTAGCAAACGTGCTCAGTTACATGCACTAGGTAAGGGAAAGATGCTGTCATCCGCAACCCACCAGCAACTGTCTGACCACCAATCCTTTAGTTTAAAATTTGTAGAAGCGTTTCCTAGAGAATGCTGCAGTTGTAGTATTTGTCACCCAAACTTAAAATGTGGTCAGTCCCATCGAGGCTCTAATAGGAGAACAAACCGGCTGCCAGTTCTGTATTTAATAGCAGATCCTGACAATTCCATTTGTGCCTGACAACTAGATGCCTTTCAGTGAAGCCATTCCCTGGAAATGACACTACAATACTGTTACTTATTTAGCAGGCATGGAGCCAAGAAAAACCAGCTCATTAGTGGTGAATGAGTAGGGAAGACAGTAGCCAGAGGATTAAAAAACAGCAATATACCACACAAACAGGCTTAGAAGAACTGTGAAAATGCAGGAGAAAAAAAGTAGAGATCCACAGAATGAAATTCCTACAACACAAAATTAACAGAGACTTAAGTCTGCACTTTCTCATTTAAAATCACATAAGCAAGGATCAAATGCATATTGATTCTAATTTTACATAAAAGCCTGAAAACCTCATGCCAATAGAAAATATTGGTAAATAAAAAAAGGACTCCCCTAATCTTGGCCCTGTTTTCCTGTTCTATGAAGCAATTCATAAGAAGAAAAAATAACTTCAGACTATAAATGATGAATGTATAACTATTAGGAGTGGCCTCTCTTTGAGGCCTCTCTTTGAAATAGAAGGAAAATGTACATTTCTTCCAAAGCTGTGGCCAACAATAACTTTCGCATTCTGAATCTAGCTTAAGCACATTAGTTGGGAAGATGTTTGCAAAAGTATTTCATAAGAAAGTGCTGAATTTAGCTTTTATTTTATTTTTTTCTGTTTTCTTAAGTGGCCTGCAGTCTATCCAATGCGCTAAGTAGAACCTCTCCTAAGTATAAATGACAAAAGGAAATACAGCTTTCTTCTTACAGAGAACTGTTTCTACAGATCAGGGGTCATCAAACTTTCTGTAAAGGGCCATATAGTAAATATTTTCAGCTTTACAGGCCAATATGGTGTCAGTCACAAAAACTCAACTCTGCCATGTAGCATGAAAGCAGCAATAGATAACAGATAAATAATGAGTGTGACTGTGGTCCAATAAAATCTTATTTTCAGAAACAAGCAGCCAGTCTATGGCCACAGTTTGCTGACCTCTGCTATAAAGCATGTTTTTTTACCTACTAATAAATACGTTATTTTAATAAATAACACCAAATTTGAAAGATGATCTCTGGGGTTTGCTTTAAAATATTTCATTAAAAAAAAAGTGAAGAGCAGAGAGAAAGGTTAAAGAAGACTGGCAAGGGGCTTCCCTGGTGGCACAGTGGTTAAGAATCCGCCTGCCAATGCAGGGGACACAGGTTCGAGCCCTGGTCCAGGAAGATCCCACATGCCACAGAGCAACTAAGCCCATGCACCACAACTACTGAGCCTGCGCTCTAGAGCCCACAGGCCACAACTACTGAAGCCCGCTCACCACAACTACTGAAGCCTGTGCACCTAGAGCCTGTGCTCCCAACAAGAGAAGCCACCGCAATGAGAAGCCCACACATTGCTACGAAGAGTAGTCCCTGCTCGACGCAACTTGAGAAAGCCCGCGCGCAGCAACGAAGACCCAGCGCAGCCAAAAATAAAATAAAATAAAGTAAATAAATTAAAAAAAAAAAAAAGACTGGCAAAACACAATTAGCGTTAGTCTGATGATGGATGCATGGAGTTCATTATACTATTTACAATAATTTCATGAGTTTGAAATTTTCAAAATTAAAAGTTTTTAAAACTACAAGGTAGATCAATGAATTGGCTCTACAGGAAAATTAATTTCCTCACTTTACTACAAACATTCTAAAACATATCTAGTATTTTTAAACATAATCAACATAGTACAACATAAAAGTTTAACATAAAGCTACTAAACCATAGCTAAAAAATTTAAACGTACAAAAGTGTACACAAGCATAAACCCTTAACATTTTCCATAATTTAACAGACAGCCTCACCTCATACAACTCCTAAATTGACACATTTTATTAGTCTCATCTTAGCTAACAAAATGTGTTACCAATTTTTGGTTTTAGAATATCATTATTTTATAGGGTATATATCACTTAACATATCATAGGTTTATTATTTTTTCAAATAAATTAGTAAATAATTTTTATTTCTCAGTTTTAAACTCTAAGCAATAAATATGAATAGAAACAATTCACATAAACAAACGCTGTTTAAGGTCTTCGATAATTAAGAGTATAAAGGGATCCTGAGGCCAAAGTTTGAGAACCTGTGACCTGAACGTTTTTGATGCTGTTTAAAGTATGTTTACCAAGCAACCATTAGATACATGCTCAAACTCATTTTTCCTTTGAACAATAATCATCACAAAGTGGAGTTAATCCACTATGAAGGGTATCAATATACACCCATTTAAACCTTCAACAGAAATATTCTTTTAAAATTTCTGGGTATGTCATGAATAATGTATCCATAGGAAAAGAAGAGCTCTAATGTGTTGTCCCCCTTATGCAGAAAATTGTCTCCTGGACCAATAATAAAGAAAAACTAATATGCACCAGCAGACATTTCTAATAAATATGCTACCTCTCATCAATTCAAGATATGCAGTCTCACTCAATGAAAGAAGCCAGAAATCAAGCTGAAAAGAGCTTTAGCAAAGAAACGTTAATGACTATGCAATTTCTCAAAAACTAAAGAAATGTGTTTTTTAAATGTCCTAAGTTTTTTCTCAAGTTCTGAAACACAGTGATTTCAAATATTATCAAAACTGAAAACTACATTAGGCTCACAGAATTATTATGACTGACACTTGAGAAAAACTGAGAACTCTGTGAAAATATTTCCAACTATCCAAGAATATAATCAATGTCAAAATTTTCTAAATCTAAAACTAAAATAGCAATAAGCAATCCATAACACAGGTTTGGGCAGATAATAATCAGAGCACAAATGTCTGCATGAGTATTCATTCTTTTATGAAGATGAACCAATACTTACTTTTTGAATACAGTATCACTGTACCATTTTTAACCAATTTGTCCCTTCCGTATACGGCTATTTAAAATGTTATCAGACTATTTCATTTTTACTTAAGTACAAATTTCCAAGTTAAGTTTTATAAATCTCGTTATTTCTATTGTCTTTTATCAACATGAATAAACTTAAAATAGTAATAACTGAGATACAGAGCCATACTTACATCATACTCTGCAATTCTGCTGCAAAGCTTACAGACTTCCCTGTACTTCTTCCACTACTTGAAGTGGCAGTAGACATTGGGCTGGCTGCAGTGTTATTCATCTAAATAAAAAAGAGAACTCAGCTTACAAAAATGTATCTAGCTATAAGTAAATGCATGGAAAACGGAAGCAATTATAAGTTACTTCAAAAAGTATAGAAATTTTTTAAATTCTGATTTGTTTTACGTAAATCTGATTTGTCCATACTTGTTCTTCATTAAAATGAAATAGTAAGGTAGAAAACTGCTTAGTCAAATATGATGTAAAAAAATTACTCACTTGGGTGATAAACTTTTCATTACATATTTTGTAATAAGTATTGGAAGAAAAATACTCATTAAAATATTTTAATAAAGTTCAGTGGTTTTCAAAATCCATTCCATGGAGCCCAAAGATTCCCCAGCAATATTTCATTGAGCTCCCAGTGGCCCCCAAGCAGTCCCATCCAGAACACAAGAACTCTGATTTTTCTATTTCATATATTGGGGCTCCAAGTAAGATTTCATTTAAAGAAAGAGCTGCACAGCTGCAAGATACAGAATTAGAAAACCAAAACATAATCTAATTCCCATTTGAACCATAGCCTAAAATACAAATAATACAAATAAAGCCAATCAGTAGATCATAAGTAAGCACTGTGATATTTTATAATCTTATGGTTAAATTACTCATCAATTTAAAATGTGACTTTTAAAAAAATAAAAAATAAAATGTGACTTTTGACCCAATAAAATTAAGCTGGCGCATAATGGGAAAACTAGATGCTAATCCTAATATACGCCATTTTATTTATTACATGTGGCAGTCCCACAAACAAGAATTAGTGAAAATAACATTAAGGTAACAGAAGTAGATAAAAGCCTCAGGCTTTTACCTCAAGGACACAGTAAGTGCTCAATAAATGTTAGTTATTATTTCATGTTTATATAAATTTTGTAATACTACGATTTTCTTTAAAAAATACTTTGCTGATTAAAGAAGAATTAACAGATTTAAAATATATTTAAACAGATTTAAAATATATAATAAAGTAAAGCAGTACTGAGAACTTTAAGTACAGTAAAGTAATTAGGAGTCAGAAGTCAGACTGCCTAGGTTAGAATCCCAGCTCTACTACTTTACTAGGGCTCGGGGCAAGTTCCTTAACGTCTCTGTGCCTCAGTTTCCTCATCTGTGAAACAGGAATGATAATCGCACACTTTTAGGGTTGTTGTGAGGATTAAATGAACTAACATAAACAAAGCATTCAGTATAGTTCTTAGCACACAGTCAGTACACAATGTTAACTATTATAAACAGAAAGAACTCAAGAATTTTCCCTTTCTTGGTCTGCTAAAAGCTTTTATGTGACAAATTTGATTATCCCTATTTCATAATCACAAACTTTAAGAAACTTGAATATTTTCACTACAAGACCTCAATACAATTCAACAAATATTAATTAGTTTCCCTATAAAATAAGTTCTGTTTTCACACTGACATCACTACTGCTACTAGTCAGCCTGGCTTAAAACATCAGTCATCATCTTTGACTCCTTCTCCTGCACCCTATAATTTGTAAGAAGCCAAATAAATTCTACTTTATGTTTTTACCTCCTCCCTTTCTTGTTGAGCTCTATTTATAGCTTCTCTCTTTGCAGCTCAGTTCATTCTCCACACTGCTATCAAATTTATCTTCTTAATACATCCTCTAAACTGACCACTTCTGTGGGCAATGGAGGCTTAAAATTGATAAAGGAAACTTGAACCAGGGTCATTCACTGATGGCTGAGATGGAAAGGCTGCGTCCCATGAATGAAAGCTGAAAAAATTAACTACTACAAACCACTGCCTGAGATGGGCCACATATGAAGCTTTTGAGAAGGCAAAAGGACAGAGACCTAAGACAAGCAGCACACTAGCTGGGTGGCTAGATCTGGAATGCCCCAATATCATTCTGTGGCAGGACCAATTCTCTGCCAATATAAGCCCTGGTCTAACCTAAGGTCCCTAGGAGCCAGGTGAAAACCACTAGACAGAGACTGCAAAAGCAGAGAAAGAGAAGGAAGAAAGTTTCACTCAAACTGAACCTGAAAACCAAAGTTCTAAAACACAATAAAGAAGCTAGTGCTATGAAAGACCATCGGTCTTTTTAAGCGTAAATTTGTCCTATTTGTTCACAAAGACTTTTTTGGAATAAGTACTTTTTTTCTACAAATAATAGAGGAAAAGAAGCAACACCATTTGGAACTCAGGTTAAAAAAAAAAATCGCATCATCAGTCCAAGATTGGGGAATAATAAAACAGGAAAGCAAGTTCAAAAAGGAACTTGGCTTTCCAGTGACCTTAGAAAATGGTTCACTTGTCCCAAGAGAAGACTGAGAGATATGACATCCTGGAGAAGATGTTAAACTCAAAGATTATGTATTACCCTCAGTCTATGATTTAAGTTGACTCATGTCAGATTTGAAGGCATGCCACTCTTGGGATTATCCCGAGACACTGCTGGAGTTATTGCCCTCTTTCATTCTGCAAATCCAGTCACCTTGCTTTAACACTCTCTGAAGAAGAGACATTTCAGAAAGTAAATGCATACTAAAACCCCAGCTTTCTTAGGTTGTGCCCCTACTGCAAATGTTTCGTATCAAGAGTGTTTATTGGTAAGAGTGAGAAGATCCCAACGTAGTTTATTATAACCACGATCATCCTTTCAGAGTCAAGTTATTTACTTCTTAAATCAAACAGGTGAATAACATTTTTCTTGACATCATGAGCTGACAGTGCATTAGAATCTTTAAAATAATTATTTCCTGTGCACACATTTTGTTTGATGTTTTAGATAATTAACTTCTTTAGACATTAACTTCTTTACACATCAAAGTCCTATCATTCCAATGCTTTATTTCCTATCTCCCGGACATTTAAAAAAAAAATGTCGCTTAAAAGCAGAAGCACTCAAGTCAATTTTCTCTAATAAATACAGTTAACATGGAACTGAAAACCTACTGTAATCTTCTCAATGGGTTAATGTCCTGCAGTTGTTTTAGCTTTCAATTGAAATGCAGCTGTTTGCCATATTTTACAAAATGAATTCAGATGTGCAGATGGAGACCCAGATTATTTCAACATGCCACAGTTTAAATGTGAACTCAAGGAATAAGTTCATCTCTGATTAATACTTATATTTAAACCTGATTATTAAGCCAGTAGCCAATACTATGTCACACCTGTAAAATTCTGTTCCAGAGTAGAAAAACTGACATCTTTGAATAACAATAATGAAATTTAAGGATATACCCCTTTTTTCAGAAAATACCACGACAAAAAAATTTTAACTGTAGTAAAGTTATACATCACAAATGTGAATTAAACAAAAATGTAATGAACATGTTACTGCATTTCTATTTATAGCTCTTTTTTTTTTTTTTTTTTTTGCTGTACGCTGGCCTGTCACTGCTGTGGCCTCTCCCGTTGCGGAGCACATGCTCCAGACGCGCAGGCTCAGCGGCCATGGCTCACGGGCCCAGCCGCTCCACGGCATGTGGGATCTTCCCGGACCGGGGCACGAACCTGTGTCCCCTGCATCAGCAGGCGGACTCTCAACCACTGCGCCACCAGGGAAGCCCTATAGCTCATATCTTTAGTGACTAAATGACCAAAGAAGAAATACCATGAAACATCTTCAGCTTAAAAATACCTCAGAGCTGAAAATGTTATTACTAGTTACAACTAGTTACAACACCCTCAAAACAGTGTCAAAAATCTGGATTGTGAAATCCATCAGTCTACCCATTTACTAAAAGACAGTGGAATTTTTAAATTGTTTCACTCCTGAGAAATATTAATTCAGCAGACCTATGTACTGATTCTGCACATCTACAGAGTCTCAATTTCAATCACTCATAATCTGAGCATCCCACATAATATAAATTAATAGAAAACTATTATAACCAGAACATTTTCATTTTCATAGAACTCCAAGGGCAGGAAGCGATTATGGTTAAGCCAACACTATTAAGACACTACATTTTAGTTTTGTTGTTTAAAAAAAAAAAAAAAAACTCAAGTTACATCATGATCTAAATTTCTCCTGCTGTGCAGAAGTAATACCAAACGATCATTCAATCACTGAGAATGCAAAAAATAAAAAAACAAATTAAAATCTGCAAAATTTTAAAACTTCTATACCTAGTTTTGGTATAACACAATGATAATTCCAATATATTTATATATGCCCCAATTCAAGTTAATCAACATAGTAGAACCTGGTAATAATGATCAACTAATCTCTCAAGTTCAGTTTCTCCATCCGTCAAGAATAGTTTCTACCTGTCTCAGAGGAGTGTTTTAAAGAAGACAGTGGCTGCAACATAATGTGTGCTCAAAAAATATACGTGAATTGAAAACATTAAAACACCTGTAAATTATGAAAATTCCCTATAGACAGACGGATTGTAAACTGAGTTTCCTTATCTCAGTTGTCTACATGAGCGATTATTTTTTTAAACCTATAGACATAGAAGCCGTGACACACTGCTCAGAGACACGTGAAGTTCTATCATTATATTTTTTTTCTTTAGACTGATATTAATGTAGGTTTCTACTCCATGTGCTTTCATATCCAGTACTCTCAAAGAAACACTGAGTTTCAAAAAAAATCTTATTCTTTGCAAAAATGGTTCTTAAAGTGCACTGCCAACATGCCTATCAGATCATCCTAAAATACGTGACATCCAAACCCTGAAAAAATGGCAAGCTTACTTTTCCAATATTGAAAACACTGTTGTTTTTACATAAAATATTATATAATTGAGTGACAATGGTTAACGTTCCAGATATATGCAAAAATTTGGAATCAATTATACTTCTAATAGTAAGAAGTAAGTGTATTTGACAAGGATGTCAAAAAAGGAGCTCTCTTAAACATCAAGATTCTCTTCCAGTCTAGATTCACATTTTAGAAATATTAAACCTTATGAGAAGTCCATATTAAATATAAACAATTCAATAAAAGATCTCATGTGGTTAAAAACAGTTCATGTGACTAAAAAGGAGTGGGAGATTTACGGGAAGCATGTAAAAAAGAAGTGAATTCGTATAAGCATTTCAGAGTTTATAAGGGGTCTTTCACCTGTATTGGCTCACATATTTCACAACCACCCTCTTACGCATGTATCTCCCCCCATTCATGAAGAAGGTAAGAGTAAAAACACTGGGTGAAGGTAACAGATCTAACACAAAAAACAGGCTTTGATCCCAGGTAACCTGAAATATTCAGTCCATCTACATACATACTTTTAAAAAATTCACCTACCATTTTAGTGCCATAGTTTTAACACACTAAAATAATATGGAATTACTGAGAAGTTGTACACATAGTAGCCAGGGGACTTGTCATTAAGTTTTCTTGGAGACTGATGACTTTAAAAGTTAAGTTCAGGAATTCTTTGCTTAAAAGTAAATCTTAGGCAGACGGATAAACAACTATAACAAAGTATAACTATGGAAATTGGCGGGGGGAGGGACCAAAGACATCTGACGTTCAGAACTACAGTTTGAAAATCACTAATTTCATCCAAATCCCTCATTTTTCAGGTGAGGATACTGAAGTCCAGAGGGGTTTCTTGAACTGCCCAAGGACACATCACTATTTAGTGACACAGCTGGGACTAAAACTGAGGTCCCCTGACTCCTGGTCCAGAGTTCTTTCTACTATCCCACAAGGAACACACAAATAAAAGTTGATTATAATTAACTCACAAGACCTCCACAATGTGTCTGTCATAGTGAACTTTGTTGTGAAGTATCTGTCTATGCCGACTCACAGTTTAGCTGTAAAGAGCTGGGCTCTGGAATTCAAACACAGGCTCTAACACTTACCAGGTGACCTTGGGCAAGTCACATCACCTCCCTGCCTCAGTTCCCTCATCTTTAAAAAAGGAGATTAAAAATACTCCTCTCATAGGTGACATCAAGTAATGTATACAAAGCACTTAGGACAGTGCCTGGTACCTAGAACGCACTCAGTTCATGATGATGACGATGATGATGAAGAATCCCAGCAAAAGTATAGCTTCTTGAAAACATATCACAAAGTATTATTATTAAACACATATACTCTCAGGGGAAGAATATTATGATTAGGAATAGTCTTTTAAAGATTCAGAAACAAATAATATGAATAAAGTAAAATATAAAGGATTCAGTCATAAAACTGCTATAGCATTTGAAATAGCAAAAGTACACTTCAAGATTTTTAGTTTATATTTATGTAATATTTTATATTTACTGCCCTATGAATTCAATGAACACAGCAGTTTTTCAGCAACTAGTATATACTATAAGCCAGTTAGCATGTTATTTTAATATTCATAACCTTATTTAACCTTCAATATCCACTATCAGTCAAATTCTATCAGAGGCAGTAGTATAATGCAAGAAAAACTTACAGATCCATTCCAGAAAAGTAAGAGACTCATCAGTATCACCTATTAAGTGGGAATGACACGTTTGGATAAATGAGATGGAGCATTAGTCTGGAACACATCAAGTGCCCATGGAAACGTTGGTTCTCCCTTAGCAGTAGTATAGTGTTGTTTTGTACAGGGAATATACTGTAACCAGATCAATATAGCACCATTACTGGGGTGTACAGTATTATTTGTCAAAGAGAATGATCTTAGGTAACAGTGTCTATTACACTCTATGCTGTTTCACAAATTAAAATATGTGTAACAGTTTTTGCAGATTTACTGGAGGTAGTTGGTAGACAAGTTGAGAGGAAATCAATTAAATAGTTAAATGTCTGTAAAACAACACAACAATTTACCTAATTCTCATCTGAAGCCTCCAGCGATCCTGGGAGGAGGTGGGATAAGGTTAGGTACTAATTCTGTTTTACTGATGAGGAAATTGAGACTCAGAAAAGTTAAATACCTTAATTGAAATCACACAGAGAGAATTAGGGCAAAAAAGAGCTACATCTAGATTCTGAAATTAGTTTTAAGTGCTCTTTGCACCTATCCACAATGCATCTCAGAACATTAATATCTCTCCAGATCCATTATTCAATAAACTTAAGGCTAGAGCAGCCAATATTTATTGAGTACATAATTCTTATGTGCTTCGCTGCACCCAACACACATCACATGGGTTACTTCATTTAACCCTCAGAAGTAAGGAATCAAACCAAATGTGTTTGACTCAATAAAATATTTTATCCACTACAGTATAAATTCAATTAATACAATAAAACATTAAGTTGAATTATTTTTCTTTACTATTTAGGTGAGCCATCAGCAAAACCAGTCTTTAATATAATAAGTAGATTTCTAACTAATTTCACTATTCAACCTCACCATAAAGTAAAACAGGTATTATTTTCAACAAGAATACTCAATGTTCTGATTTAACTGGCATGGCCTGACTTTCTTTGCAGATTCCTACACCAAAAATCAAGAGAGAACCAAAAATTAAGGTGCCCAAGATTTCTATCCAATTATATGGAGAAAAGTAGAAAATTTTAATTACCTGTGGCTTAAATGGACAGGTCACTTGCTGGCCTTATTCCAGATAGCGCGTCTGTTATTTAAGCACATAAGCAATAAAGTTGTCACTACTTTAAAGCAAGTACATTTCTGAGGTTGCAGTACGTTTAATCCTCCTAAAATCATATATTCCAAATTTCAACAAGCCTGAAAGGAGGGTGACCATATTATTAAGTAGACCCAACTGGAACATTTTTGAAAATGGAAGGAGTTCTATTAAGAATTATCCTGAGACAAACAGACTCTAAACCATGACTGCCCCAGAAAAAGCAGGGTATACGTAAGAGCGACCCATCTTGATTTGTGTGTTATGGGCTGCTCTTTGTATATGCTTAATTCGTGAGCTTTAAGTTTTTGTTCCAGATCCAAGGGTTATCATCGGCCTTGAGACCAAGGGTACCACTTCACAAACATCAGGCCAGAGTTAAGGGCGTGTTATCTATAAACAAAGGGTTTTTTTTTTTTTAGTTTTTCTTTCAAACTTAACTTTATAAACATTTGCTTGAAAAAAACCACTCTATGTATTTCAAAGAAAGCAATCTTGCAAAATATCGCCAAATTTCAGACTTATCTCTTCAAAAGTTTTGAATACCAATAACCACAAAACTACTTCTGAAATGGCCCAACGCTCAGTTTTCTACTATAATTTATCAAATTGTTTTTTATACAAAAAGTTAAGGAAAAAGCACCATCTTTCAAACTGAAAAAACTCAGGAGTAAAAGAGTTGAAAGGTTTTCACTGAAAACTGACTAAAGTGATAAAAGATAGTGGAAACCCACAGTCACGAAACAGTACAATGATTAAAGGAAACTCCACTTAGTATTATTATGACTCTCCAAACAAATCTGCCGTTAGCCGTACAACCTAGGAGTCAAAAGAATGCTTTGCTTTAATTTTCAAGCTGTAAGTAAGTATTAACAGACCCAAGCTTTGAACTACAGTATGTGAATGAAAGGCATTATCTGAATATAATTATAATTCCGTAAAGCAACAAATGTTCTAAGAGTTGGCTTCTCTGACTTAAAACTCAACAAAATGAAGAACTGGAAAAGGTCTCAAAGGCTCGATTCTAGACCTATGCTGTCCAATAAGGCAGCCACTAGCCACATGCGGCTATTTATATTTAAGTTAATTAAAATAAAATTAAATACCTCAGTGCACTACTAGCCACACTTCAAGGCTCAAGAGCCACTTGTGTCTAGTGGATACCATATTAGGACAGCACAGATTACAGAATATTTCCACAAAGATAGAAAGTTCCATTGGACAGGGCTGCTCTAGACCTAGGCTACTCTAGATCTTTTCTTGAATATTCCCAGAGATAAGAAACTTGCAATAACACAATGAAGTGCACTTTATTTTTGCAAAGTAGTAACTATCAGGAAATTATTCATAACATTCAGTGAAATCCAGCCTCTCTAGAACATCCACCAGAAATTCCACAAGTTCCATCCTCAATTTGGTCTTCAAGTAAATCTTTACAGAGGTAATTTAATTCTGTTTCCAAAGTTCTGTCCTCACATATAGTAAAACCCTACGTCCTCTCCTCCTAGATAAATACATCCTCATTTCTCTAGAACGAAAGAGTTTAAAGTTTCTAAAGCCTCACGGAGTTAAGCTCATTTATCCACGTGTACGTTAACAACACATTTCCAGGATCGCCTCTGAGTGTCAGATATTACATTCCACTGCCCCTATAAAAATCCACACCAGTTTCTTGATTTTTCCACTCAGAAAGCCAGGTCACAGTCATTCTGAATTCCTTAAACAGGGAGATAAAAATGACAGGTAATTGACAGCTAATTGATCAGTGCCTGGAGCTTGTAATAAGCATTAACCTGTATTACCTCATTTAATCCTCACAATTCTGATCTAGGTTATTACTATCCCCATTTTACAGACCAGAACACCCAGCCAAAGACACGCTAAATAATTTCCCCAGGGGTCACAGATGTGGGCTCACCCCAGAGAGAAGGGAGTCGATCTTTTCCTTTTCCTGGACGCTACACTTCTACTAACGCTACCTAACTCTTCTTCCACCTCGCCCATAAAGCTACAATTTCCTTGTTTAAGAATTCTTCCCCCCAAAACACGACCTAGATGACACGCGGAAGGTGCTTCTGAACACACCCAGCGACGCCCGCTCCCGCTCGCCCGCCCAGCTCCCCTGGCCCCACGCCCACCCGCCTACGGGGAGGAGTCAAGGCCAACTCCACACGCCGCGGGAGAACCCGGCCGACTCGCGGGGCCAGCGCCTCCGGAGACGCTGCTTCTGTGTGTCCCTCAGCCTCCCGCGCTAACGACCGGGACCCCCGACGGCAGCTCCCGGGGGCAGGGGGGCGGGGCCCAGACACGCAGGGCTCGGCGCCTCTCCCGGCCCCCAGCCCTCTCCCCCGCCCGCCCCCGCGCCTCCCCCGGTCCCCCTACAACCTCTGTTCTAAGAACACTTGTAGACCCGGCTGCGCGTCCCGCGTGGAGAATGTGGGGATAGAGATGGTGCGGTTTCTGCGGCGGCGGCCCGGGACACGCTTGGAAAGGGGCGGGGTAGGGGGCTGAGAGAGTCTAAAGGGAAAGGGTGGCTGGGCGCGGACGGGGGGGCAAGATGGCGTGAGCCCGATTCTCTGTGGGGCGGGGGTGGCGGAGGTGGAGGAGGGAGGGCTACAAACACCCCCGCCACTCCCGACGCGAACGCTGGCGCATGCGCGCTCGGCCAGGTGGCGCGCGGCCTCTTTTCTCTAGGCAGCCACTTCCGCCACGCTCGCTGGGGGCGGGGCGTCGCGGAGCGCGCCCGTCGCCGCTTTCCTTGCGGCGTTGGTGCGGGCGGTGCGGGCGGTTAGGGCTGCACGGAGCCGGGGGCGGGCGACCCTGAGCCACGCGGCGGCCCTTAGAGCGGGGGCTGCTGGGAGATGAGTGGGGATGAGCTGAGAATCGGAGTGTGTTGAAGGCCATTCTTGGACTCTTTAAGAATGAGCTGAGAGGACTAGGGTTTTCGAGGGATTTAGTGACCGAGGCTGGAAGTTTGTTTTCAGCTTCAGGGCAGAGATTGACCTCTGTAAATCTTGTCCGCGGTAGGGGTGAACCGGGATCTTACCCGGACGATGCAGGGAAACGGAGACATCAGAAAGGCCCTCCTCCCCTAAAGGACCGCGGTGCTGGGGTATGGATATGCGACCCTTTCTGGGACCGTGAAACACCCCCTCTTACGCCGGCCCTCGCACATCGCCGCTCCCCATCCTTCCCCTGCGCAAAGTCATTCCAGAGGCAGTGGGAGATGATAGTCTGCAGCGAATTTTTCCCTCCTATTCATTTTACCAAGCTCAAGCATTTAATGACCACGTTTTTATTGAAAACTATTTGCTATTTCAAGGCTTCTGAATGGATGATTCTGTATTTATTTTTCCTTAGAATTTTAGCCTGCTTCTCCTTATTTTAAAATCTTGCACTCCCACTTTTGAGCTGTACATCCTGTCCTCTCAGAATTGATTGATACAGATGTATTTCTTTAAATAATACAATCATAAGACAGTGATTTCAGTTGCTTTCATTATTTTACGTGGTCTTGTTATTTATATTTTTAACATTCTTTTCAGCTGCTCAGGAAAGAAAACTATTACCCACTTAAGTCCATGCCTATGACGTCAAATATTATATTTCAGAGATTCAACTACTAACCCTCATCAAGTCTTTTTTAAGCATTATTACTTCAGTTATTTTCTTGCCTCTATGAATATTTGTGTTCTGAAATAATCCCTTCCTATTCGCTTACATTGTTTAAAATAGCAACTTATTTGGTTATTTCGTCTGTGGATTGTAGTTGAGTCTCTTGTTAATTTTGCTTTTAGCTCTCCTTTAATCTCCCCAACACTTAAATACTTGCCAAATAAAGTTCCAAAAGAATAAATTTGTTTAGGCTGTAAAAGCTCACCATAATGTGTAAATCAGGGCTCAGTCCACTGATGGGCAAAGTGTATAGGGGAAGAAAGTAACAGAGAGAATCGTCATAATTTCTTATGAAGGAAGACTGGTTTATACAATAGTTGAAAAGCCCTTTCAAGTACATTAGCAAGAAAAATAGAAGAAAATTAAGAAAAATATTAAGAGTACGTCTAAGGAAATATAACTGGAAGGAGATCCTTTCAAGTAAAATTGTGTTCAGTCAGTGTTGCCGTACTGATATTTTCATGGGACTTTTACCTGCATCACATGGAGGCCAGATTTGACCTAGTTTTTTGGGACAGAACCCAGACCTTACTCTCAAGCCACTGGTGTCTAACCTACATATAATCACACACAGCAGGAGTTAATCAAAGTGTGCCATGGAGAAGGGAAACCGAGTTAAACAGGCCCTGGTAGAGGGAGCTCACAATTTCACTCTTAGGAAATTGTGACTTGCTGTTGGCGGAGATCTTAGCTTTGCAGTCCCATGAGTTATCTTAGTGTTCCTACCTCCTGGAATCTGTTAAAATCTATTTTAAAAATTTGATTTAGTCATAATTTTGTTTGTAGTTTGAGAGCACTCCTGCCCACAATGGGTCAAAAATATTCTCCATTCGATTAATATCAAAGATCCTAAATTATCAATGCTACTAAGATATCTTCATTGTAACAAAACTAAAGCAATGGTGCTGAAATTAAGACATTGATGACTACCACCTCTCAGAAAAACACGTGATTTCCAAGGCATGTGGAAAAAACACATCAGGAGACCAAGTGAATTCATCACACCACAAAAATGTCTTCATCCCTTGAACAAAGCCATTAAAGGAAAATGAAGCATTGTTACTGTAGATTTTTACATTCCTCTGGTATAATAACCTTCATATAGACTGACTAATGAAAACAGAAAGGGTACATATCTAAGCAAAAATGCCTCTTGGCATCTTAGAGGATGACTAGATTAGATAATGAAAGAAGGCTTAATCCTCCAAATAATAGCAGAAGCCATGCCTAGTATGGCGCCATCTCTGTGATAAAGTGGTTTCTTCTCCTGTGGACGCCATGCAGACAGTTTACTCCAGGTGACCTGCAAATTCTTACTCTTTTGTGACCCGTGACTGTCATGTATTAGGATGCTTGTGGAGGCTTTTTCTTTTCCTATTTATCAATTACTTCACCCTTTGCTATATTTGCTATTCTAATGTTTAAATAGTCACCATGGAAATAAACCAGGTAGAACTGAATATTGTTTAGAATTGCATATTGAAATTGTTGCTATGTTCAGTTAATTTCCTAATAGTAAGAACTCTTTTTCAATTGCAATCTCAGAGGTATCTTGTTTTATCTTTAGAACGAGGAGTTCTGACCAAAACAATTATTCAGCTCTGTGGTACCTGGGCAAGTCATTTTATATCATGGATCCTCAAGTTTTCATATCTGTAAAATGAGGTCATCAAACCAAATGAAATAAAACCTGTAACCCTAAAACTCTATGCTCCTTTAAAGTAGGAATGACCAAAAGATGAATCTTAAAGGTGTACAGAATAATTTCAGCATTTATATTTATGCTACCAAAAATTATGTGACTATGCAGGACTCTTGCTTTAGGCCAACTTGGATCAACTGATGTTATGTATTTCAAAAGAAAGCCCAACGTGAAAAGGTATATGTTAATCAAATTTATTGACACACTGGAGGGAGGGTGTATCACATAACTGTTCAGAGTGTAATCAAATTGGCTTCCCATACCTTCCAATTATATTCATATGTTTTGAAGTAGGAAGAGCAACACAGTGGTGAGAGAAGAAATGCTAAGAATTGCAGCACTGAGCAGCTTGTAGAACTATAATCATGAACCATCCTCTTAGGAATCTCTCATTGCAGGTTTAACACTCCAGGATCTTTTAAAATTAGTGCTTGGCTGCTAGAAAATGATCATTTTTGAGACTTAGATGGGAAGGGAATCATAGAATATCAGGGTTTCATGGAGCCCCTGAACTCTCTAGACATATGGAAACTTAGTTGCTCCCATTCCTATAGAATCCAATATATAATACCTCTTGTACTGGAAATGAACAACTTTTACATTTCTCCCCTTGAAAATAAGGTCTATTTGCTGAGTGTTAGTGATAGGTGCTAATTATTTCGTTCATTCGACAATCATTATGATGGGCCTACCGTGTGCCTGACACTATTCTAGGAGCTGCAGATATAGCAGTGAACAAAACAAAACTCCATGCCATCATCAAACTCACATTCTAGAAGGAGGAGTTGCACAATAAAATAAATATCCTAATTGTGTAATATGTTAAAAGGCTATGAGTGTTAGAGGGGGAAAATTTTATACAACAGGGAAGGGATTATGGAATGAGAACAAGCAGGAGGAATAGGAGAACTGTGATATTTGTAATGGGCAAGCAGGGTAGGGCTCACTGAGGAAGTGGCATTTGAATAATGACTTGAGGAAGAAGGTAGTTGTAGATTTCTAAAGAAAGAGCCTTCCAGACAATGAGAACAACCCGTGCCAAGGCCCTGTAGTGGGAACGGGGCTGGTAAGTTGCAGGAGTGACCAAGAGGCCATTTTAGCTGAAGAATAGTGACCCAGAAAGAAGATAGAAGAGGTCACAGAAGAACTAGGAGACCAGATGGTGGAAGGTCTGTGTGCCTGGGACTAGGAGGCTGTTAGCAGAGAATTGATATGATGTGGTTAAGGGTTTAAAATGATTACTCTGGCTGCTGGGCTGGAAATAGTCTGTAGAGGCACAGAGAGTAACCAGGCAAGAGATGACAGTAGCTTGTATTAGGGTTGTTACAGTAGATTCCATGAGACGTGGATGGATTCTCGATATAGTTTGAAACTCATTGTGATTTACTGACAGATTGGATTTGGGATTCTAGAGAATGAGAGGAATCAAGGATGACTCTCAAGGGTTCTAAGTGAAAAAATGAATTTGCCATGAACTGAGATGGAAAGGACTGGGGATGGAGTATGTTGGGTGGGTATAAGAGATCAAGAATCCAGAGACTTCCCTGGCAGTCCAGTGGTTAAGACTCTGCACTTCCAATGCAAGGACCGCAGGTTCCATCCCTGGTCAGGGAACTAAGATCCTGTATGCTATGTGGCCGCGGCCAAAAAAAAAAAAAAAAAAAAAATCCAAGTGTAAGAGGTCAAGAATCCAGTTTTAGGCATAAATAAGTAATTAAATACAGTGTTCGTATTATCTTTAATGTTTTTGCCATCATAAGTAAGTTCTTATGGAAATGAAGGAAAGTTTGTATTTGTAACTCTTTTAATAATAATTTAATTTCTAATCCTGCTCACATAATAGAGGTCCATCTAGACCTAACATAGGTCAAGGAATATTTTATTTTTGCTTTAAGAAGAGGTGAGGAAAGCTAAACATTCCCTTGTTTAAAAAGAAAAAAGAAAGAAAAGAAAAGAAAAGAATAACTGTTTTGGGGTTGTTGTTTTTTTTTGGCAGGTGGTCTATCAATACCTGAAAATAAAGTCGAGAATTCAGTTGAGACAAATATACAGAAACATTCAATTCCCCAAAGTACTTTCATTGAAAAATTTAGATGTAAAACTGGATCTAATTCAGTGAATTATTTGAATAACGGCCTCCATTTTATATTATGCATATACATTTATTTTTCTATGATACATGGAAACAGGGCCCAAAATGAATCAGTACCA